CTTGGGGATGATCAGCATGCTCGATTACCCCCCTGTGCCAACTCCCAGCCCCCTAGCTCAAACTTTGCAAAAAAATCGATAAAATCGATAAAAGTAATCGATAATCCTGAAAACCAATATTGTATTCGGAATCCCCATGCTCGATTACCCCCCTGTGCCAACTCCCAGCCCCGTAGCTCAAACTTTGCAAAAAAATCGATAAAATCGATAAAAGTAATCGATAATCCTGAAAACTAATATTGTATTCGGAATCCCCATGCTCGATTACCCCCCTGTGCCAACTCCCAGCCCCGTAGGTGAACTCAGCAAAAAAATCGATAAAAATCGATAAAATCGATATCGATCGATGACGAAAAGTAGCCTATGACACCCGCCGGGGCCCGTAGTGTATGTGTGCCAAGTTTGGTCCGGATCGGTTCAGAAATGGAATTTTCTATTCGGAACATACGTACACACAGACATACAGACATACATACATACATACAAACAGACATTCAGCTTTATATATAAGATTTATTAGAGCGAATTCCAGCATTTCTACGGGCGCGTATCAGTCCCTCATTAATCGTCGACTACTATCCCTTAACACGGCTCAAACATCTTCAGTCGTAAACTGATCACGACTGCTTATGGAACAGTTACTTGCACTCGATAATGAATGGACATGCATTTCAGTACCCACCTACTTTTAGCTAGCCCAAGGAGACTCGAATTTTGACCAGGTTAAGATTTCTGGTAGACTCCATTCTATTTTTTTGGAGCACTTCGTATTGAGCAACTTTCATTCCTGGCTTGATGGGTCCTAAATATGCCTTGCCTTCTCCACTCCAAATTTCGTTCATTTTGCTGATTCATAGTTTGGTGTGATCAGGAGAAACTAGCAGATATTCAGCGATGTTATTTCTCCCCGAAGCACGAATCCAGTCGAAGCGGCTACTGTGAATTTTGGAAAACTATAAAGAAAGAATAGCTGGACAAGTGAGAAATGGACGAGTTCTCGATAGCATTGGTCGCAACACATATTTAATCCTTTTTACAGCATTTCTAGCAACTTCCTCCATGCCTCCGTTTTCCTAAGAATTTTTCGCTCAAAAAATCGAACTTTTCAACAAACCTATGTAGAATTGTAATGTTTTATGGAACTGGATAGTAGTCGGTTTTGGGTGTCCTAGAATTTTTTTTCGCGAGAAAAGGGCGGCAGCCATCACCCACGAAGGGAGTGGCTTTAGTTGAGCTACCCGTAAATTTTGGGCGTTCGTCGGAAAATTTGTACAATTTTGCGCTAATTCTGAAGTTCTAAGAGGGACATGGGGGAGACAAATACGTTCCTAAAAGAAATCTCATACGAAACTATTAGGTCATTCCGGAAGTAATTTCGCTTTTTTTCAAACGGGCGCCACATCTGATGGAGCAAAGGCTTCTAAGAGATCTTGGTAGCATTCGATGCAGCATTTCATTCTCTTTCTAATGGTTAGGAAATTGTTGCAAAACAGTCAATGAGCTTTCAGAAAATACTCAAAATCTGCAACTCATGCTTTTTGAGATGGTCAAGTTTCACGATTTTTTAAACCTTTCATATCAATCCTCAGAAGGAGTTCAAGTGACGGTTCGATAGAGTAAAGCTCATAGAATACAGCGCTACTTTTTTCCCTTTCTCGCATCTCGCTGTAATTTTTCAAAAGATTTTTTAGCAGAACCATCGAATTTTGCCAGGCCCACTTCAACCACAATCGCATCAATCATCATAATTTTTCGGAATCTAGACTACCAAGATGGTACTATGAGTTAGCATTAAATTCTACAAAGCAAGTGAGGGTTTACGGGTTCGAAATATCAAATTTCGAGTTTTTCGGGTACAGCCTGGGCTCCCTAAAAAAATAACTTATGATGATTTTATCCCCAGAAACTAAACGAATCGGAAACAAAAAACACCCATTAGAGAGAAGAGAAAAAGCTGCATCGAATGACACCCGAGCTGCTCAAGGATTGATGTTCTACTAGGATTTAGCTGTCCAAGTATGGAAATCGGTAGCATCAGTTAAAATTCTGTTAAAAATGTATGACAAGCTACGGAAAAGAGAAAAAAGTTGCACTGTATTCTATGAGGTTTGCTCTATCAAACCGTCACTTAAACTTCTTCTGAGAATTGATATGAAAGTCTTAAAAAATTGTGAAACTTGACTATTTCAAAAAGCATAGTTCGCAGATTTTGGTTATTTTCTGAAAGATCATTGACTGTTTTGCAACATTGTCATAACCATTAGAGAGAGAATGAAATGCTGCGTCGAATGCTGCCAAGATCTTTCAGAAATTTTCGTTCCATCAAATGTGGCGCCCGTTTGAATAAAGCGAAATTACTTTTGGAATGACCTAATATAATCATTTTTAGTAATTTCTAACAAGTTATGATTATCTTATATATAAAGCTAAATGTCTGTATGTCTATCTGTCTGTATGTCTGTCTGTCTGTACGTATGTTCCGAATAGAAAAGTCCATTTCTGAACCGATCGGGACCAAACTTGGCACACATACAATTTGGGCTCCGGCGGGTGTCATAGGCTACTTTCCGTTATCGATCGATATCGATTTTACACAGGGGGGTAATCGAGCATGCTGATCACCCCCGTGGGGGTGATCAGCATGCTCGATTACACCCCTCAGCCAAATTCCAGCCCCCTAGCTCAAATTTTGCAAAAAATCGATAAAGTCGACATCGACCGATAACGAAAAGTGGACTGTGACATCCGCCGGGGCCCGAAGTGTATGTGTGCCAAGTTTGGTCCGGATCGGTTGAGAAATGGAATTTTCTATTCGGAACATACGGCGGAGCCGGGTAAGCCAGCTAGTTTGCAAATAAAAACAAGTTAACTGTAAAATATATTAGCTCTAAAGACCACCCAATTTTGAACGCAGTTTCGAAGTGGGAGGGGAATACTTCTCATGGCAAATTGTACTTGACTTAACTGCCGGAAGATTTTGCGCTCAGGCCGATCCCCCCCCCCCCTCCCAAGAATGAATCGCGAAATTTTTGATACTTACTTGCATAGTTATAAAGATGTGCAAAGTGACTTGTTCATACTTGTAAGCAAAAAATAATCTTCAAAATCTTTTGAAAACCGCCACGCCCCCTTTCTCTGGGATTTCCGGCCTATGTGAGCCCGCGAAAATGCGGGGGGGGGGGATAGATGCCGAGTCCCAGAGCGCAATAGGCTTGTCACAGGCGGCAGCGAGCGAACACCTCTCTTTAGGTTATTTATATAGATAGGCTTTTGAAGGAGGTTTTGCCATATTGTCGTCCCCTCTTACCATCTTATCAATTCCTCCTTTTTTGGCGTTTTGAGGTCACCAACGCGATCTCGAGTGATTTGTATTGATAAGCATCTTTATTTACTTTGCTCCTCATATTAGGAGCAGCATTCTACCGCTGCCCGAATGAGAGTTTGTGATGTCTCAATGATGCTTATGTAAGTAGCTTGTATCGTAACAGACAGGAGCCACCAAACTCCACTTTAGGCTGGAGCAGGGCCCGGCACGAGTCGGTTTCTAGAATTTCCAAAAACGAAGTCTCCCCTGACTTTCGGAAGTTTTACGAAGTCCCCTTTGACCTACCTGCCTAGGAGAAGCTGAAAACAAGAAAGATTCACTGGTCTTGGAAAAGACATAAGATAAGAGTGAAAATCCAAATTGGCGGTGAATACTACGCATGCACAAGACTTTGGCATTAGAGCGCGATATTTAACAAAGCGAGAAGAAATGAAGGCAAAATACAAAGGAAAGGCAATGATATGAAAATGTCTTCATGTTCAGGAATAGATTTTTGATCGGGGAATCCGCCCATGCTAAAAAAGATCCGAAACTTATGTGAAGTGACGAAAATATATGCTCCAGACGATCTCAGATCGTCCGGTGGCCGTCTGGAGACGATCTAAATTTGAAAAAGGTATTTCTTCACATAAGTTTTTAAAACTTTTTACATAATTCTTCCTGAAATAATTTTCTATGCATACAGTCCAACTTTGGTGTCATATGATTCTGTGTGCGCTGTAAACAAACAAGTTCTTTATTTTAGCCTTGCTTTCAAATCGCGCGCACTTTCCGCCATACACGATAGAGCATGTCAATCGTGCGATAACCTGTCCGAAAAGCTTGTGTTCGACTAAATGGCGATTATTCTTGGTGCTCGGTTCCGACTCGTCAAAAACGATATCCCCTTTGCTGTTTACTTCAAAAACGAAGTCCAGCCTGCTTCCAGACGATCTGTGCCGGGCCCTGGGCTGAAGCATAAGACTGGTTAGCCACTCACTTTTGGCTTACCGTAAAAGGGTAAGCCTTCATGTTTCATTTCAAGTTCTGGTCCAAGCATACTTTGCTAATTTGAAAACACCACAAGGGCTGAAATTTTTGATCAAATGTGGACGCCTATAGTCCGTAGCGAAACCGCTCGGTACTGGTATTCAAGGCAAGGCGCGGGCAATTAGCTTTCAAATGGCCCGTAACTATCATAACTTTGAATTTTTCATAAACTTTAAAGCAAGAAGACTGACTCGAGGAAGAAGAGGTTGTCCGCAGGGGACGGGGACCCAACAAAAAGCAGAAAAAGGCTGCTTGCACGACATCTCGTTCCCATTTGATACGTTTATAGTAAAGGATAATAAAAACACTTGGGGATGATCAGATAGTGTAAACTTAGATGTCCTGAGTTTCAGGATATGAAGGTTCTTTCTCGAGAAGATCAAGCACCCAGGCGGCCAGACAATTTTCCGAATCCTGCTATCGATCAAATCTCATGTTCTTGGATACAGATAAAAGGACCTACATGGTCTATATTGCCTTCTAAGATCGAACTTAACCTCGCTAGCTAATTTTTCCTCCTCCTTACTCAATAAGCTTTTGTCTAAGAAAATTCTTCATTGAGAATGTACTGCATTGAATCAGTGAGTGTTCTTCGTTGGTTATTTTTTGAGGTCAAAAATGCGTCTATTCATTGAAAAGCTTGTTTTGCCACACAAAGTTGTTTACTGCAGTACTAACAGAACGCTACAAAAGCGGAATGACATGCAGTCTCATCGTTCTTCTCAGAAGTTCACGAATGTTTTGCACACTGGATCCACCTCGTCGCGTTGGAGGATGTAGCATTCTACCGTATCGTCGCAATCGATTGGAATTTCTCCTTTGGGAAGGGAGTCGCATCTATAGCTTTTCTGTAAAAGATTATCGTGATTTGGTTTCAATAACGTTCGAGAGGTACAAAAAAATTTAGCTAGAAAAGGTTCAAAAATTTATTTTTCCTGCGAACTGCTCCAGACCAATAAGTTAAGTCAAAAAGCATACTTTGTAATACTGCAAACAACTAACTTGGTATTTGTAATGCATTACTGCGGAGCATTCCTTGTTTGCGTAGCAGGCAGCCAAGCACTCATCCTTATCTGCTTTAAGATTGTGCAATCTCTGGCTGTCACTGTAGAACACTTTGACTTTGTCAAAAACGCAGCACGAAAGGTATTCCACCTGAAAAAAACAATTATGGCAAGTGCTGACACTATGCAAGCAACAATGGGCTTTCTTGAGATCGAAACTTGACCTGGATGAAGAACAGAAGAAAGGCAAGCCACTTTGTCGCCATTGCAGCTGTTTGATACCGAACTCTACGGTTGAATCGTCTCAAATGCTCAGTCGCTTTGGGGTGGTCCCATGGATACCAGAAACAATAGACAATAGCAATACAAATTTGTTTCTAGGAGATTCGGTAAATATATTGAGTTTTATGTAAGTCTCCTAGAAACAAATTTCCATTGTGTACTCGCAAATTTGGCTTACGCTTTTGTTCAACCTGTACTACCATAAACGGATTCTAGCCGAGACTATGCTTTGATCAGGCATACGCAAGATGAGAATATCAAAGCATCAGAGAACCTTGTGAATCATCCCATATGGGATTTTATAACAGTATATTAGCATGCTGTCCAATTGACGTGAGGATCAGTAAAAAACAAAAAAACGAAAAACCCACTACTATGGTCATCTCAGGAGAGACTGGAACGTAAAACGATTGTCATACAAGGTTTTTTCATTTTTTAAAAAATTTTACGTTTCTTATCGGATTCCAACAAAGGTATATTTTAGATCATTGTAAAAGATCCGTTTTCAAATGGCGCCATTTGATGGAAGAAAGATTTCTGGGAGATCTTGGTAGCATTCGATGCAGCATTTAATTTTCTTTTTGATGTCTATAAATTTATTTGCAGATTGATCTCTTGTAAAATTTCCAAAATTTGCGACTACCTTTTCAGATGCTAAAGTTTCACAACTTTTCTAGATCTCTCTATCAACCCCCCAAATGAGTCCAAGTAACAGGTGGATAAAGCAAAGAAGTTACAAGAAACATCATAACTTTCTCCTATTTCCCCTCGCCATAAATTTCCAAGATTTTTCAAGCCACCGGATTTTGGAAGGCCTACGTCAAATCGGAATATCTGATTTCGAATTTCTCCGGTACAGCCAGGGGCGGGTTTGAAAGTATGAATTATAATGATTTGATCTCCATAGGCTTCACGAAGCAGAAACAAAAAACACCCATTAGAAAGAGGAGAAAAAGCTGCATTGAATGACACCGGTGCTCATTGTTTGATGTTCTACGAGGTTTGAGTTGACCAAGTATGGAATCGATAGCATCAACAATTTTATTAGAAAATATGACGCGCTCTATAGAGGAGAGAAGAATTGCTTAGTATTCTGTAGGGTTTGCCTCTATTCATCCGTTACTTGGTCTCCTTCGGAGAATTGATAGAAAAATTTAGAAAAATTGTGAAACTTGAGCATCAAAAAGCGTGGCAATTGGTAATTTTTCAAAAGTTCATCGGCACTTCTCAAATAAACTACCATCGTTAAAAAGAAGGTGAAATGCTGCATCGAAAGCTACCAAGTTCTCTATCTTTGTGCCATCAAACTTGGCGCTTCCTTGAAAAAAAAAGCGAGATTACCTTCGAAATGATCTAATATTTACGACTAGCGACCCTATGGATCGCTAGCAAGTGGGTTGAGGCCAATTCATTAGTGAGTCAAAGCTACACTTATTTGCACACTAACAATAAGGACATTTGAACAAAAACTATTTGCTTCATGTTGCAGCTTACGGTACAATGACAGAAAAGAATATTCACAATTTGCTGCACCGTTTTTGAGCACTAATAGCCTTACCAAAGTTAATCTCGATTACCCATGGGTTACTCGGAAAGTTCTGCAAATATTTTCCAAACAAGGCTTCTTAGCAACGTGATCAAAATTCCTAGGAAATTCCAACAACCACTTCTCCAAAATTCCGTGTATTCGATTCGAATTCCTTTCGCACCTTAGGTTCTATCAGAGGTTAAGCGTAACATCGATTATTAAAGTTTTTCCACAAGACAGCCTTTCCTTTATATCCACAAAATTTTTGCTAGCGCTAAAGATTTCCTTTTTATCTTTAGACTTTTCCTTAAAAGACACGGAGTTCGCGAAACGCCTCTCAGTCCTATTGTAGAACCACCGCCACTTTGTTGTGCCTAAAAATTCTTGCAATGGATCCAAAGGTTTTGATAATTCAAGGTTTTTTTTAAAGTGAAGCGAAATTTATTGATCAACCGGCTCTTTCGAGAGAAGCGGAATTTCTTTGTAATTCTAAAATTTCATACACTTGATCCAAATAACTATAATACTTCAAGGCTTCTGTTCTTCCCAGGACGCGGAACACACTCATTACCTCCAAAGCTTTCCTATCAAAAATACAACATCTTCTAACTCTCCTAAGAATCTTCACAAAAAAAATTTCGCGCCCACGAAGCCCCTAGTCTTTTTTTGCCAGCGGGAATGCTCGCCCTGACCTTTTCTGTTTGGGCAGGAGTATGAGTTCCCCAGTGAAAAGAAAACCGAAAGTTCTTTCGACATCAAATTTTCCTTGTCAAACTTGGAAACTCCTAAAAAAAATTTCGCCCCACAAAGTTCCTGGTTTTTTTGCCAGCGGGACCATGCTCGCCCTGCTCTTTTATTTTTGGGGAGAAAGTAGGTTCTCAGTAAAAAAGAAAGAAGTATCTTTCAACAAATTTCTCGCAATGTATCTGTAGAACATTAGGATTCCTAAGAAAAAGTTCGTGTCGCATAAGGTCCCTGGTCCTTGTCAACGAGACCGTGTTGGCCCCTCTTTTTTTGAGCAGAAGTAAGAATTCCTCAGTGAAAATAAAACCGAAAGTTCTTCCGACATCAAATTTTGTCAGTAAAGCTTGGAACTCCTAAAAAGAATTTTGCTCCCCGAAGTCCCTAGTCTTTTTTGCCAGCGGGACCATGCTCGCCCTGCTCTTTTATGTTTGTAGAAAAAGTAGGATTTTCTTAGTGAAACAGAAAGAAGTATTTTTCAACAAATTTCTCGTAATTTGGCTATAAAACCTTAAGACTCCTAAGAAAAAGTTCGTGTTGCATAAGGTCCCTGGTCCTTGTCAACGAGACCGTGTTGGCCCCTCTTTTTTTGAGCAGAAGTAAGAACTCCTCAGTGAGAAGAAAACCGTAAGTTCTTCCGACATCAAATTTTGTCCGTAAAACTTGGAGCTCCTAAAAAAATTTCGCGCCCCAAAGCCCTTAGTCTTTTTTGCCACCGGGACCATGCTCACCCTGACCTTTTCTGTTTGGGCAGGAGTATGAATTTCTCAGTGAAAAGAAAGCCTAAATTTCTTTCGAGATCAAATTTTGTTTGTTAAACTTGGAGCTCCTAAAAAAAATTTCGCCCCACAAAGTTCTTGTAATTCCTAAGGAAAAGTTTGTGCCGCATGAAGTCCGTGGTCTTTTCTGCCAGAGAGACCATGTTCCCACTGTTCTGTTATTGTGAACAAAAGTCGGATTTTCTCATTGAAAAAACCTGGGAGTTTTCGACACTATTTCAAAATTTGTCCATGAAACCTTGCAGTTCCTAAGAATAAGTTCGTGCCGCATAAGGTTCCTGGTCCTTTCTCTCAACGAGACCATGTTCGTCCTGCCTCTTTTCTTTGAAGGCAGCGTCCATCCAGAATTTGGCCCCCCATGTTTCCGTCATTCTGGGGCCTTTCCGTGGCCCTGATTACAGTTTCGAACTTCAAACTCTCCAAAACTCACAAAAAATCCGATTCCTGGAGACCCTGTCTTGAGGGCGCGGACGAGTTTCGAATCGCTCGTCCCCGTCGGCAGGCCAGCGGGGAGGAGCTGGAACTGCATGGGTGAAGTTCAGCAGTGTGCAGCTTCTGCTCACTACCATGTCAAGACGTGTCGGGAGGTAGTCCCTGGCTGGGCGGAGTCTGATATCAGACTCTGTCAGCCAGGGACTTCCAGGCCCCTTATCTCCATTCAGAGACAACGTTAGAAGACCGGACAACGCAGATGCCCCTTTTCTGGGGCCTACATTCAGGATCGACGGTAATCGGAGAGGGTTAGGTTCAGCGTGGACCCTGCCTTCAAGGACGGAAGTAGGATTTTGTTAGTGTTTGAATTCGAGCATCTTTCGGGAGATTTCGAAAATCTGTATGGAAAGCTTGTGATTTTTGAGGTGAAGTTCCTGACGCATAAACTCCGTGGTTCTAGGCTGGCTTCTCCGCGAGACTGATGATTCCACGCTGCCGTTTTGAAAGCGAAAGTTCGATTTTGCTCAAATACCCCGCTTTCATTAGTCGTTTTGATTAGCTACCCACAATTCAAAGAAATTAGTTCCGAAAGATATTTTGCGTCGAAGCGTTTTGCCTTAGAAATGTTAAGCTGTTTTCACGCTTTACCGCTTTTCACGCTTTAACTTCACCGCTTTCCACGCTGCTGTTCAGAAAGCGAAAGTGAGATTTTGCTTAACTACTTCATGAAAATTTGATATTTTGTGCAAAAAAATTGGCATAGAGTTTTAAGTCGGCTTTTCCCTGTCCGTGGTTTGTACATTGCTGGACTGTAAAAGTGGCATGCCTATAGTGGGTGATCTCAAAAGCAGACTTTTCAAAAAAAAAATGCATGAGAACCATGTATTGAGGCGGAGCCGGCTTCAGCCGGCTTGAAGCGAGGTACTATTAGCCACAGCTTTCCTTGAGCAAAATATGATAACATGGAGAATTTTCAATGCGGTTCTCCCTACAATTTACAAAAGATCGCTCGCGAAAAAAAATTCCGAGATTATCTGAGTGAGATTCTCCCAAAATATTAGGTTGTCCCGAAAGTTTTGTCCGTTTTTTCAACCTATCATAAAAACGCATGGAACGGAGATAGGAAAACGCTCTAAGCACTATCCGATGCATCTTTTCCTTCTCTTTCTAACTGTCATGCTTCCATGCCGATTAATCTTTTGTTCACTGAGATAAACGCCAAAATTTCGCACCCATGATTTTTACTATGTCCAAGTTTGGCAATTTTTCACAATCTTTATTTTTGACTTTCGGAAAAGCTTTGGCAACAGTTAGATAGAGCAAACAAAGTGCAATATAAATGCAATTTTGCGGCATCTATAGCCAGCCTTGAAAATTTTTTAGAATTATTTTCTGATGCGATCAAATTCCACTTTTGGTGATGCCAAAAGCCAGAGATCATGAAACGTGTTAACTAAGGTGTTATTCGATGCAGCTTTTCCTCCTCTTTCCAGTGAGTGTATTTTCTCTCCAATTTGCGGGGTCCTTGGCGATAGTATTT